TTTCAAGGCAAATTTTAAACATACCAGCTAGCTCAACAGCTAGTGAAAGAGTTTTTTCTGTGTCAGGCAGAATTAAAGAACAATGAATATTGATACCAATTCTTTTTTATACTTGTACTAGATACATAGTATATCTGAAATTTTAAAAATAATAATAGTATCTTCAGCCCTAGCTAGGCGTTTGGTCAAGCTTTTGTAATAATACTTGTGTGATAAAAGCCTATTTATATGAAACGCCATTTATATAAATAAAGTTTCAATTTGAAAAAAATGTCCGTAAGAAATAGTGCGTGAGCATGCGTGATTGAAAAAATAGGCGTCGTGAGCTGGCGTGAACGTGATTGAAAAAGATATAGCTGGACGTGAGTGTGCGTGATTTACAAAACCATTAACGTGAGCGTGCGTGAATGTGAGCCAAAATTACTCACGCGCCCATCTCAACTCCGAATGAACTTCTGCCATGAAATCGCTTTTTATAAAAACCATTTGCCATTCGGAGGCGGCCCAGAACTTTCCCTTCCCTTCATTGGCGTGACAAGATCAACACGCACATTATGGATAACTTGATTTAGGTATTTTATGCAATGCATTCAAAACACAAGCGAAAGGACAGCTAACTATTATAGGAGTATATATTGAAAAAATGTGTAGGTAAATAATAGTTTTTAAATTAAGCTACTATTAGACTGTGAAATCCTTACGTTTGACGACAAAACTGAGCCTTAGATTGCCTCTACTTACTTCCCCGCTTACTTTTATTTCTATAACCAATTTACAAGAAAAGCCCAAATACGGCTTTATTCAAACCAAGAATTTTTCGTTTTATTAAGACCCATTAAATAACTTGCTTAATTTTTACGGGATTTGGTAAATTTTTAGATCGATTTTGGGAAATTTTATTTTTCGACTGCACAGTGGTACCGTAGGAGGTCATTCGAAAAATTCACTAATTACTAACAAACAGCCACTCTAACAGGGAATACAAAAAAAAATAAACATTTAACGCTAAAGCTCCGTTTCATCCGTGGAAGGTGCACACTTTCCATAAATGCTTATTATTTCAAAAAGTATGCATTAATTTGAGTGAATCGCTGAGAAGATTTTGATCAATTATATTTACTTGTCAAAACTTGTTTCATATGGAGCTGAAAGCTGAAGGTATTCCAAGTATGTGATTTTTTCTTTAAAGTGTCTTAATAGTAGTTTAAATATAATTTTAAATAAGTGGCAGAAAGTAAAAAAATGCCTTTTCTGATTTGTCAAGGCTTTTAATTACTTTTGCACTAAATTGCACGCATGATTTTGGTACCAAAATGTTTGCATAGATCTCTAGTTTCAATATCAGAACCTTCCAACTGCGTTTAGCTGCCTCTGGGTATCGCATAAAGTTTATACTACACCCCTCAGTTTCAAACAGGTTTTCAAGGTTTCATTTAGTTTTTTTAATTGGCTCTTTTGACCTTTTTTACCCCAATAAAATTAGAGTTTTTCTTAAAAAAAATTTGTAACAGCAATTTTTTGATCCAGTTTACTCCTATTTGCCACGTAGATCATGGATCTACAGTCCAATTCTCTACAAGTTTGGAATTTCAACATGCTATGTATTGTCAACAGGAATTGTCAAAAAATGGCGAAAACCTTGACAATATAAAATTTTTTAGCAGTTTTGGTAATTTTTTACAATAAAACATACTATTTTTAAAAAACATTCTATATAATGTAGGAAATTAAATTCTCTACATATTTGTATATAACCATTTTTTTTTTAGAAATGCAAAATTTGCTTGCAAATCGCAAAAAAAACCCAAAAAAATAAAATCCAAGATGGCGGAATGTTGCCACATGAAATTTAGGGGCGAGACTGTGGATCCATTATCTACGTGTCAATAGAAGTAAATTTATATAATTTTACTGGGATAATCGCTATGTTTGGGACGAACCTGGCCGTGATATAAGCGTCGTACAAAAAAATTTAGGTATAAGAGTTGTGAAGAATGAAATTCTGTACATGTTTGGAATTTCAACATGCTATATATTTTCAACAGAAATTGTCAAAAAATGGCGAAAACCGTGACAATATAAAATTTTTGAGCAGTTTTTGCCAATTTTTTACAATAAAAAATGTTATTTTTTATAACAAATGTGGGAAATTAAATTCTCTACATATTTGTATATAACCATTTTCTACGCAAAATGAAAAATAAGCTTGCAAATCGGAAAAAAACCAAAACAACTTTAATTCACGATGGCGGAATGTTGCCAAATGAAATGTAGGGGCAAATAGAAGTTAACTGCATCAAAAAATCGCTGTTACAAGTTTTTTTCAATTTTTCTTCCAAATTTATCTAATTTTACTGAGCTATTAAATGTATTTTAGGATCGAGTTATAAGTGTTCTTTTGCTCGAATATTGGATAAATGGCTCTCCTATCAAAGCATCAAAAACCAAGAAGAGAGGGAACGGAAAGTTTTTGAAGCCATGACACATGCTTTGCCATCACGCGAAAATGTATACACTGACAGTTTGAAAAATTGCATTTTCTACCTTTGCCGGAGGTTTTTCAAATATTGCGCGAAAGTTGACAAGATCAAGATACCGACTAATCGCCAAATACTGCGACTGGTTATATGAAAATGAAAATTGCATTTGCAAAGACAGGTAATGAAGATTTTCCCTCTACAAGCAAGCAGTTGCATAGAAAACCATTTGCTGACTGCAGTAAAAGATCTAAGCGCCGCAGATTTGCTCAACTATCATAGGTCGATACTTCTGCCATCTCTGCGATAATTAATGATTCCGCCCGATCAAGAACCTCTTCTGTACAATTCAGCGCTGACGATATGGTATCACTAATTATGGAGGCTAAATTGACAAATTACCAGTACTTGCTTGTAAAAGAGTTAATACACTCTAAATTTACAAATGTTTTGCCCTCATATCAGAAAGTGCTAGAAGCCAAGAAACGATGTTATCCATTAGAGAAATGTGTTACAGAATGCTCTAACGAAATTAATTTACAGTGTTTGTTATACCACACTACTTCTTGAATTTCTTTCTTGAGCGTGCAAGATGGTGTTGTTGATGCAAATAATGATTATGTTCTAATTGGTAAGTGGGGTTGTGATGGCAGTACCGGGCGCATGGAATATAAACAAAAATTTTCGGATTCAAAAATTGAGGACAGCAGCTTATTTGCAACATCTTATGTTCCCCTTAAATTAATTTATAAATCGAGCATATCAGATTCAGCTATTACTGTTTGGAGGAATCCCCGGCCGTCCTCTAATAGGTTTTGTGGACCGATTCGCTTAAAATTTGCCACAGAAACAAAAAAATGTTCCGTGCAAGAAGAAGCTTATTTTAAAGATAAAATTAATAAGTTACAATCGACTTCGTTACTTTTCTATAATCGCGAAGTAGTTGTGGAGCCTTCTTTGCATCTATCAATGGTTCACGGCAAAGTCTGTTCTGCTCTTAGCGATTTATCTACAAATAGATGTTGTGGAGCATCACCAAATAAGCTGAACGACATTGAACGATCTGTAAGCAAACCAGCAGACATCTCCAAATATGAGTTTGGCTTGTCGCCACTTCATTCGTGGATTTGGTTTTTTGAATATTTTATCCACGTTTCTTATAAAATTAAATTAAAAAATGGCAATGTCGCTCAGATGAAGAAAAAGCTCTTGTAGCGCAAAGAAAGAAAATCGTGCAGCAGCAGTTTAGGGATCGTTTAGGTTTAGCTGTGGAGAAGCCCCGAAGCGATGGCAGCGGCACATCCTTCGACGAGAATACCGCTCGAAAGTTTTTCCGAAACTCTGCTATTTCAGCTGAAGTTACAGGAATAGATAAGGCTCTTATTGACAAGTGTTACCACATCCTGCAGGGCCTCCCGTCGGGTTATAAAATATATACTAAAAAATTTTAAATTTATGCATTTGAATTTGCGACCTAGTTGGGGCATATCCGTGATATAATTTACCACCATCTGTTCATAACGCTTTAATCCATGGGACCGAGGTGATTAATTTCGCAATCTTGCCAATTGGTGTGTTCTCCGAAGAAGCTGCCGAATTATGCAATAAGCTAGTGGTGCAATTTCGACGATTCAATAGAAACAATTATTGTGTTTTCAACAACACTGACCTTTTGCACAGACTACTTCTTAATTCTCATCCTTACATATCTAGCCTTCGAAATTTACCGCGAAAATCCAAATCTGAGCTATCAAAAGAGGCATTAGATTTATTATGCACTTAAAACTATGTTACTTTTGTATGCATTGTTTGTATGATCTAGTAGTAATTTGATTTTACATAAATAAAAAAAATTTAAAAATCACATTTCTATGCACTTTTTCATCAAAGGGTTTTTTTTTTAAACAACAAGACAAAAAACTGCGGATTCATCGCTCACAAAACCTGTATACCCGCCTTCTTTCGAGAGCGGTACCACTGTGCACTGGTCGCAATCTGCTTATAGTGCCGTACTACGAGAGATGCTTGACGTCTTTGACACAACTAACTAAATCACTTAGACATAACAGCTTGGTTGTTCCTAAATGCAATTCCCTTACCTCGTGCCGACTGTTTTTCGTTAGCGCTGTAAGACTGTAAAAACTCAATTCCGAGAATTGTCAAAACTGGACTCAATGGGAGCAGTTTTAAAGGCGTAATTCTTCAATACTTTAGTTGAATCGATATGTCGTCTGCTTTTTGGCTATAAATAATCCTGGTGGGAACCCATTTCTATATGCTTTTCTTTTCTATTCGTATTAAGTTTCATAAAATGCTTATAACTTCTATACTATTTATAATACGATTTTAAATGTTAGCTGATGTACCTATAAAAGACCGTAGTGTTTTAATTGCAAGTACAATCATTTCTAAAAATAAATTGAAATACATAACATCTTACACACTTTCTTTTTCTTAAAAATTTAAAACCAAATAAACTCTCACCATAAATGTGATAATGTGCTTGCATATAATTCCACTTACCGTTAGATGTTGTAGTATGAAGTAGAGCCAAAAGAAATATGAGTAAAATTTTGTAGTACCATTGTAGATGATTTGCGGTGCGTCCCGTTATGCAATGGTATCTGCTATACTTTTCGACTGATGTAAAAACTGGTAGCATTGTTTCACGCATGGAATATTTTTTGTTACTAAAATGTAATTATTAACTTTTCTATCACAATATTCGTTGACATCAAATACACATCTTCGACCCTGCTTTCCCGAAATGTTGTAATTTACTTTTTGTACATTACCAGTATTTTCGCGCCAAAATTACTCTTGAAACTCTACGAAATCCAGTTACAAAATGTTTACTATTTCTTGGCTGCGAGACGATATTAATAAAAGAAATATGCGCAATGCACTCGGGTTTCACTTGTGACGCAATACGGAAACAGCAGTAAAGCTTTACTTGGCAATATTTGTATCCACTTTTACTTCAATTCAAATTTCATTAACCAAAACACAATTTTGAATTTTTAAGGCTTGTCACCGCTGAGCAAGTGCAATGATTAAATCCCACTCAAAAGAGAAGCAAAATATGCCAACATACGCTTATAAGCTTATATGACGATATACAGTCCCGTTCACATGATTAGATGCACTTGAAAAAAAAATCTTCAAATAATCAGGCGCAATAGAAAAACAATAAGAACACAGAATTAAACATAAATTCATACTAAATCAACATTTATCCTAACCACTTCAAACCACCTGTGCATAAGGGACCTTTCTTAGTTTCCTGAGTATATATTCATAACCTGCCTTATCCTGACTTTCGCCTGAAAAAAATTCAACCGAAAATTTGTCATCCGCCCATAGTAAAACCATGGAAACCAAAAGTGAAAAGTGAGCCGGTTCGGAAAAAATTAAACTCATGATAAGTCCTATTTATTCAGAACATTGGTTGGTTGGTAGAAGCGTCGCCTGAGTACATTGCCCGGAACCAATTAGTGCTGAAAGAAGAATTTTGATACGCTTTCTCTGGGATCCTTGATTTTATCTGCTTTCATGACACGTTAGGCTCTTCAAACCATTTGGATTTTCCGATGAATCTATTTAGGTTAGTAATGGTAAATTTGGAAATCTCCCCGTGATTTTGGCTGGAAAAACTGCCGAGTGAGGCTATAGCTACGGCACCGAGGATTGTACGTTATCGTGGCTATTAATTTGACTATATCTTTCCTCAGAACATTAGAATTTATTGTTTTAATTGTGAATTTTTTTATTGGCTAAAAAATGGTTTCAGTTTACTAGAAAGATTAAATGTAGACTTTTATACCAGAAGGACCCTGAATCTTAAAAAATTATAAGGGGAATATATAGAGTGTATTGGTTTCACGTCTCGTGAAAACTTTTATAGCAAGTGAAAATGTGAAATTACTGGAATGGCCATCGTTTTCTCCAGATCTTAGCATAATAGAAAATGTGTGCGGATGGCCAACATGAAAAAGGTATGATGAAGACAAGCAATTCAATAATAAACAATCATTAATCAATGCCATAAAAAGTGCCTGGGTGGAAATACAATTGGAACACCTAAAATCACTATATGACTCTATAAGAGACCATATTTTTGCTGTTATTTCTAATAAAGGAGGAAATCCAAAATATTAAATTGCGTGTTGAAATTACTTTATTGAAATAAACCCAAAAATAAACTTACTTTGTTGAATAAAAATTGTTTTCTTTAGCTTTTGGTGTTGCGTCTAATCTAATGAAACCCAAACATGTAAGAACTTTTTGGCAAGCCTTGAAGTATAGTTAAAAAATACCATTACGATTATTTGGTTTTAAATGTTTTATGTCTCAGTTGCTTTAGTTTGAATACTTATTCCATTCAGTAATATATGTAAGTGCTTTACTGAAATTTGCAATAATTCATAAAGCTTCAAATTTGTATTGCGTATGGCGGTGCGTCTAACCATGTGACCGGAACTGTATGCACACATATATGTACATGTATGCATACATACACAGTAGGCGAAAAGGCGTCTGATTAAAATTTTTCAGCAGACAGTAATCGGTAATTTTTGTAATTTATATTTTAGCCATTTATAAATACGCAAATTTTGGATTTAAGGTACTTTGGACCTGAGAGATCCCGAAAACCCCGAATGGACCCGGATAAATAAAAAATCCAAATATCCGGTAATTTTCTGCCCCATAAAATGTCAGACAAGTTTCGATTTTCTACCAGCCCTAAAATAAAAAAATAGTCATCTCTCACTGAAGAATTAACGGCCAAGTTTGTTTAAATCATGACGAAATCAAAAATCACTTTAATTTTCCGTATATATTTATATTGTTTTATTTTTTGTTGTGTGCATATACACATTCAATGTGTAAATCCCAATGCGGTACAAGTAATATCATAAAAAAATAATGTGTCAAAAAATTTAATAAATTTTGTATCAGTTATTGCACTGATAAACTGGTTTCTGTAGTCGGTCCCCACTCGTGTCACACTGTTTCATATGTGATATCCAAAAACTAACACCAAAGAACTTTTTTGTCACACGTTATCAGTGTGAAATTTATTGTCACATTTTTTTTTATTTTCGTACACCAATAACCTTCGTCGCTCTTGATAAAGCAAATATCACATAAAAAATAAATCATTACAGGTCTATATTTGCCTTGGTATACATATGTATGGCATATTCATAGTTTTATTTACTGCATGCAAACGTTAAGAAACTCTAAATTCAAATTAATTTAACTACGTTTTATTTTATTAAATTAGTACGTCCATAATTTTTTTAAGTTTAACTTAATTTAATTTTATTTCATATATGTAATTTATTTCCTTTTTGGTTGTTGTTGTTTCCGACAGGGTGGGTGTATGATGTATTTTGGAACGAATTTCCGTCATCCCTTTCAAATTTGGTTTGGTGACAAACCGGTTTCGGCGTTGTGCCATCTTCAGTGTCATTTTTCATTTAATTTATTTCTTTATCCTATGGACTGTACGAATGAAAAACTAAGCCATCGCTTTTTCTTACAAATTCAGACCGTTTACTTAAATTTATTTGAATAAATGGAGTAAAAAGTCCGAAATATTCAAAAAAAATTGCTTAATTTTTATTCATACGGCTGTGAGTCTTCACAAAACAGCAACACTTACTGCAAAGCTGCCTTATACCGGGGACAGACATCTGGTATTTCTTCGTAGAATTTTTCCAAAATACCATATGTCTGTCACCAAATATTATAATATTCTTCAAAATACCACGTGAGCAACCTAGTATTTTTTGCAGAAAGAATACAACTTTCCGAAGGTTGTAATTTTGTGGTATTCTCATTGTGAATGAGTATTTTATTTATGAAAAAATCATTGACATTTTTGCGCGATTAAATCCAAAAGTTTATACCGCAAGTGTTGATGCAATATATAGCAATTTTTGCATTATTTTGTACATTTTTATGTTTATGAGTTGTTCTTCAAAAACATAAGAATTGACTCAGAAATACTAAGTTAATTTCTGTGACCATGGTAGTATTTTGTTAACCAATATAAATTTACCAGAATACAAATACCAGATGTCTGTCCCCGGTATTAATTCTTAAAATGTACTTAAAATGTACTTTAAGCGGACTTTCCGGAAATCATCTAAAAGTGTTTTAAAAATGTTGAAAGGTTAAAAAAAATTGTTTGTGAATGTTTATATTAACAATGGGAAACAAAGTTTGAAATTTCCTGTTTGGACTGTTAACTTACCTTGCATTAGATTAGTGGTTAGTTTAGGATGACTGTCGTTTAGAAAGTCATACTTATAGCATAGAGAGACGACCGCGTTGATTAACTTGTTAATTGGGAACTATCTCGGGAATTAAGTGCAGTTGATCAGTATTAAATCCTAGACCCAATTCCCAAAATTAATGCGAATCAAGGGCAATTTGGATAACTACACTGACCAAAACGGGTCAGCTGACGTCTATTGTGAATGAAAAACAAGCGAAGCCATCAAGTAAGAAAAGAAGAGAGCTCAACTAACTATATGAATCGATTTCGTTTTGTTGGTGCGAAAAAATAACTAATCGAAATAATTTCGTTACGTTTCAGATCCAAATTAACGAAACAAAACTCAATCGTTAACGTTGAAACGAAATAAATCAACGAAAAGTTGTTACTAGGTGCGTTCGTTTAAAAGCTCCAGTAAAAAACATCCAACAGCAAAACTCCGCCGAAATGTCACCAGTTCTCTCACAAGAGAAAAATATTCAAAACAGTACGCGAACAGGAAATTTGCAGAAACTTACAAGTTAGACGAACAGGTAATATAATTGTTGTTTACATTCAAAAGTGTAAAATATAAAACGTACGAAAACTCATCACAAAGTGTTATCCTGACACAGTTTATTAATTAAACAAATAACTACTTACTTCTTACAAGTTAAATTACTCGCATTTTGTCATTTTTAACTTCCAAACCATCAAATTAAATTTTGTGATTTGCGTACATTCCAACCAGCTGTTTTTGATCAGCTGTTTTCCTGTTGGCAAATTGCTGTTGGCAGAAACCAGCAGCTTCCCCTCAAAATGAAATGTCACTTTGCTCTCTCAATTTCCCCTACTTTACAAGTTTTTTGCGTACGCGATAGTGTTGCCAACTCGTGGGATTTCGCCCATAATTTGGGATTTTCGCACCATAAAAGGGCGCGTGGTATTTTGCGTCTCATTATGGGATTTTTAGCTAAATACAATCTTATGGTTCTATTATTTTTTTTATTTGTTGTTAATTCCAACGTGACAGGTGGGACATTTAAACTTGTTTTACCTCAAACTTTAATTAATTTCCTTTTAACCCTCGATTCGGCATTTCAAACTATTAACATCTGAGTTCAAATATCAGTTTAACACGAAACCAATAAAGTAGAAAACTTAGTTATATGATTTACACAGAAAATTTTCATTTTCCCCAAGAGTGACGGCTGAGACAATCACGACACCCGCCTCTCTGAGTGGATGGATTCGTTTTCCATTTTAGACAAACTTTATATCAAAATATTTCTTGCATAGCGGCTTTCTCGAATGTAGTTAGTATATAATGATAAGGTCCATTTTATGCTTTTGTGGCATTATTATATTTGAAAAAAAAAAAAACGCTTGTGACGGCAATATTTTGTGACTGGTGGATTGAGTCACTATTGAAGACACATAGGAGTTTTGCACTTTTTCCCATAAAAGCATGGATTTCATATTAAAGCCGTTTGAAACTTGCACTTCATTACACTAAATTTGTTGGGGCTAAAAAACTGCATACCCAAAAATGTTTTAAAGATTTACACCCAAATTCATAAAAAATAAAGAACATTTTAACT